AGAAGGCAATAGAGACACACGAGTTAGACAGGTTTAGGCCGTTAGTATGACGTAATACCCTACTCCTATGGTATGTTGGTTTGTATTAGCTATCGTATGATATTGCGTGAGTTTGGGGGGTCCCTGCCCGCCTTATATAGTCCGGAGAGCAGGGTTACAAGTCGGTTAGATCTGAGAGATAACCAGAAAGTAATAACTGATTACAGGAATCTTGGGATCATACATATCATAATAGATCTCGTAGTATCTTCAGCATATCTTCCAAATGACTTGCGGGAGGCGCCGAGCAGAGTCGTGCCCCGCAAGGCTTCGTCTTGTGGGCTGGGCCACCCCTGGGGGCGCAGCCCATGTGGTCTGCCATGGTTATCCGAGGTTATACCCCCCACATTAGCCCACAACGTCGCCCACGTTGTGGTGCACTCGGCTGCAGTCGCACCTCGCGCTGGCAGTTGCCTGCCTTATAGCTTGTACAAATACACTGAGATCAATACAGATTGAGTTGTTGGCTCCATTGCTCTCTCTATCATGGTATCGTTCGCTTAGGTCTATTCTCCTGCGCTGCCCTCCCCGCAACTGCTACCGCCACGCTCGGCTTTGCCCCATCGCCGCGATCTTGGTTGCCGCGCGCTCACCTTCCGCTGTTCCCATGGACACTAACCCTCTGCATGACGCCGATCTCTCTGATGGCGAGTATTCTTCCTCCACTTCTTTCATCGGCCGTGTCTCCTTCACCAAAACTATTGTCTAGCCTCGTTCCTCCACTGTGCTATAGACGGTGAACATCAAAAACCACGTTCCTGTCGAGCTCAATCTCACCGAGTTGAACTACACCGAGTGGTGATGCTTCTTCGACGCCTTCATCGGCAAGTTCGGTCTCAGCTCTCACCTCACTTCTTCTCCCACCGGCACCAACCGCCGTGATCCAAACTGGGTCATGGTCGACCAGTGCATCCTGAGCTGGCTTTACAACACCGTGTCCAAGGACGTTCGCGCTATCGTGCGCGTTCCCAAGGCGACGGTGTACACCATCTGGCATGCGATCCGCGACCAGTTCCGCGACAACGAGCTTCATCGAGCCGTCTACCTTGAGTCTGAGTTCTACAGCTTGGTCTAGGGTGACATGGACATCACGACGTACACTGGCCATCTCAAACATCTTGCTAACGCTCTGTGCGATGTCGGGCAACCGGTGCGCGAGACGTCTCAGGTGCTGAACATGCTCTGCGACCTCTCCCCCAAGTACCGGCACATTGTTCTAGTGATCACGGACAAGAACCCTCCACATACCTTCCTGTCCGTGCGTTCCTATCTGCTGCTGGAGGAGCAGTACGATAAGGAACACGCCAAATCCACCGCCCAGCACGCCCTACTCGCTGTCGACAGTTCTCGACCTGCTGCCCCTGCTAGCGGTTCTAGCGCCACCGGCGTTCCTCGATCTAGCTAGCCGACCGCGGGCGCTAACATGCGTTATGACAACCGCAGCAACAAGAAGCATCGTGGCCGCGGCAACAACTTCCCCGGTGGTAGCAGTGGTGGCGTGCCTCCTTCCCAGGGCGCATCTGCTGGTAGCCGATCACCATCTTCCCTGTGGCTTCCGGGCTTCAACCCGTGGACCGGCATGGTCCAGGCGTGGCCCATGCCATTCCGCACTCCTAGCGTTGGCGTCCTCGGCCCGCGACCCGGTCCACCACAGCAGACCTACTTCGCCAGTGCACCTACACTAGCACCTCCTCCGTCCTCATCCTCCAATGATGTGTGGAACTAGCAGGCTCTCCTCGCCGCTCTGGCCACAGCTAGTGTTCTGCCCGCCGGGCCTCAAACGTCAGAGTGGTTCTTCGACACTGGAACCACTTCGCACATGGCGTCCGACTCTGGTAATCTCTCTTCTGCTCGTTCCATACCCTTCTCAGCACCAATCACTGTTGGTAATGGTGCATCCATGCCGGTCACTCATACTGCCTCCTCTACCCTTCCTGGAACTCCCTTTCATCTCAATCAGATTCTTATTTCTCCTGATCTTGTCAAGAATTTGATTTCAGTTCATGCTTTCACTCGAGATAACAAAGTTTCAGTCCAATTTGATCCTTTCGGTTTCTCTATCAAGGATCTTCACACCCGGATAGAGATGCTCCGATGTAACAGTGACAGCGAGCCATATCCCCTTCGGCCTTCATCTGCTCAGGCGCTGTTGTCCAGTTCCTCCTCTTCGGCTAATCTGTGGCATCAACGACTTGGGCACCCCGGTGGTGATTCCATCAAACGCACTCTTGATCAGTTTGATTTCACCTGTACAAAAACCATAGCTCATACTTGTCAGTCATGTCAATTAGGCAAGCATGTTCGTCTTCCATTCTCCCATTCTTCTTCTGTCTATTATGTTCCCTTTCAGCTTGTACACGGCGATGTCTAGACATCACCTGTTCCTAGCAACTCTGGTTTCAAATATTATCTAGTCCTCATTGATGCTTGTACTCATTTTATTTGGACCTTTCCAATGCGCGCTAAATTTGAAGTTGCTGAATGTTTGATCTCCTTTCATGCTTATGTTCTGACACAATTTCAGTTACCCCTCATTTCTTTTCAAACCGACAATGGCAAGGAGTTTGACAACACTATAGTTCGTCAGCACTTCGTTGTGCACAGCATCTCCTTTCACCTTTCTTGTCCATATACCTCTGCTCAGAATGGCAAGGCAGAACGCATCATCCGCACCGTGAATGATTGTGTGCGCAGCCTACTTCTGCACGCTGGCATGCCATTTTCCTTTTGGGCTGAAGCGCTTTTCACTGCCACTCACCTTCTCAACCAGCGCCCATGCCACTCCACGACGCCAGTGATACCGTTCCAATGGCTCCTGGGTGCTCCACCGAACTACACTCACCTCCGGGTGTTTGGCTGCTTGTGCTTCCCCAACTAGACAGCCACCGCCGCTCACAAACTCTACGCCCGATCCAGTGCTTGTGTCCTCCTGAGTTACCCCATTGATCATCGTGGTTATCGGTGCTTTGACCTCGACACCCGTCGCGTCATCAAGTCGCGCCACGTGGTGTTCGACGAATCCGTCTTCCCGTTCCGAGCACCATCTTCTGCCACTACGTCGCCAGCACGTGCGCTCCCTGCCGCCATTCACGATGATCCTCTCATCCTCTCGGACACAGCTCCCAAGCGTCATCGTGTCGCTACGCCGTCGCCCAGTGCCAGCCCTGGCATACCTTCCCCAGTGGTCATGCCCACGCCCATACTGACGCCTGCGACTATGGCCACGCCCATGCCATTGCCTACTATGCCTGCTCCCAGATCCAATCCACCTGTTCCCACACAAGCATCACTGGTGCCCGCGCACGCCACACCAACACCGCCCCCGTCCATCCCAAGGTCACTCGTGAGCTCGACACTGCTTCAGCGCGTCGTCACCGACTTGCGCTCTGAGTTCGCCATCAAGGACATGGGCGACCTTCGATTCTTCCTCGGCATCGACGTCCAGCGCATGGCGGACGGCTTCTACCTCTCCTAGAGCCGGTACGCCGAGGAGATCCTACAGCGCGCGGGCATGTCGAACTGTAAGCCTGCTTCGACACCGACCGACGGCTTTAAGGAAAGCTTTCCTCGGATGGCCCTGCTATTCCGGACACGAAGTCATACCGCATCATCGCTGGAGCGCTGCAGTATCTGACTATCAGCCGCCCGGACCTCGCCTTCGCTATCCAACAAGCTTGCCTCTACATGCATGATCCACGACAGCAACATTCGACGTAGATGAAACGGATCCTGCGCTACGTACGCGGCACGACGTCGCACGGTCTACTGTTGCGTGCCTCGCCACGGCTCGACGTCATGGCCTACTCCGATGCAGACTGGGCTGGCTGCCCAGACACTCGCCGATCGACTTCTGGCTTCTGCGTGTTTCTTGGTGAGTCTCTCGTGTCATGGTCTTCTAAGCGACAACCCACAGTGTCGCGGTCGAGCGCCGAGGCGAAGTATCACATATTGCCGCCAATGCCGTAGCCGAATGCATATGGTCTGCGATAGCGGCTCTTCATGAGCTTCACACCCCATACTCAAAGCTACGGTGGCGTTCTGCGACAACGTCTCGGTACCGCCTACATGTCCGCGAATCCGGTCCATCACAAGAGAACGAAGCACATCGAACTCGACATCCACTTCGCTCGAATGGGTGTAAGCCGGCGAGCTCCGCGTCCTCCATGTGCCGATTAGCGGCGGTATGCCAACATCATGACCAAGGGCCTCACAACGAAGACCTTTGAAGCTTTACTGGGACGAGTCTTTGCGTCGTCTTGATGAAGCTTCAGACTATGGGGGTGATAAAGTGTAATTTGTATCTTGTAGTTCATAGCTTAGCCGAGGTATTTTCCTGCTGCTTAGCTCATGCAACAGCTGGCTGGTTAGCCCACGACGTCATACCCGTCGTCGTCATGCGCTTTCGGCTGTAGTCGCACCTCGCGCTTGCAGTTGCCTGCCTTATGCTTGTACAAATACGCTGAGATCAATACAGATTGAGTTGTTAGCTCCATTGCTCTCTCTATCAATTATATTATCAACTGACTATAAGTCAGGAAATACTCTCTCCGTTTCAAATTATAATTCGTTTGATTTTTTTATCCAAGTTTAATTGCTCGTCTTATTCAAAAAATTTATACAAATATAGTCAAATTTAAGCTATTCTTGAAAAACTTTTGTTAATAAAGCAAGTCATGACAAAAGAAGTGATGCTTAGCACAAATTTTTTGAATAAGGAGTTGTTAAATTTAGGGAAAAAAAAGTCTAACGAATTTAGTAGTAAACAACATGATTTTTTTAATAAAACAACACTCTCACTGCCCGCTGTGGCAACGTGCGCCCGCTGCTCCCCGCTGAGTCAACTGAACTCACATGAACCGCGATCGTGAAGGATTTGTTTAACCTGATCTGAGCTTCCTGCGCACACTCGTTAACTCAAGCTTAAGTCACGAACTTGAAGATTCAAAAACAAATGCTTTCCAATGCCACCGTCGGCCCTTCTCTTTCTGCTCGTCGCCCACCTCGCCGCCGGCGAGCCCACATCCACCACGGCCCTCACTGCCACCCCGTCGACGCTGACCAAATCAGACCACGCAATCACCCTCCGATGGTCGGGCCTCCCCGACCCGAGTCCGCTCGACTACGTCGCCGTCTACTCCCCGCCGTCCTCCGGCGACCTCAATTACCTCGGCTTCCTCCTCCTCAACTCCTCCGCCTCCTGGGCCACGGGTGCCGGCAGCCTCACGCTCCCGCGCCTGCCCGACCTGCGCGTCCCCTACCAGTTCCGCCTGTTCCGAGGACGACGGCGCGTTGACCAGCAGGACGGCGACACGCTCCCCGACGCCAGCCACCGCGCCGCCGTCTCCGGCAATGTGGCCTACGAGGGATCTGGCGCCCGGCCCGCTCAGCTGCATCTGGCGTTCACCGACAAGGTGGACGAGATGCGGGTGCTGTTCGTGTGCGGCGACGACGGGAGGAGGTTCGTGAGGTACGGGCCCGCTGGTCGGCGAGAGGAGGAGTGGGAAGAGGTGCCGGCGGAGGCGAGGACATACGAGCAGCGGCACATGTGCGACTACCCGGCGAACGACAGCGTCGGGTGGCGGCACCCTGGGTTCGTCTTCGACGGCGTGATGAAGGGATTGCAGCCTGGGACAAGGTACTTCTACAAGGTATGGATACATATAACTTGCATGACTTTTGCTAGTTTCCACTTCGAGTGATATGATTAAGTGGCTACTAGTAGTACTTCCATTGTGATCTGAGAGTTTGAATTTCTGATAAATAGAGCTCATTGTAGCACCTGGGTGCCAATAAATATTTTTGTTGGATACTTGTTCGGCTCTAGCTTGATTGGAACGATTGCTGCCTACGAGTCACTTCAGATCTGAACTGATAAACCCTTTGGCTCCCCATCCGTGGATCTGCCCATCCGAACATCCTAGTTTGGGGCCTTTCATTGTCTGAAAGTTGTGCGAAATTTAATTTTAGAACACTAGCTTCAGTTTGGTAGTCAAGTTTTTTATGCTTGCTTCCAGCATTCGTGCAAGAATTCTTGCTTTTCTGTCCTTCGATTAGGGAACCAAGGCCTACCAGAATCACTCACTACTAGCATTACAGCGTACTTACTAGTCCATAAACCTGTGTATCTGCACAGGGCTAGCAATTTTACAACATAAGTATTAGAAGTTTTCGGATAAATCTAGACCTGCAAAAATTGAAATTGTCCATACATATACTTCGTACTCTTTTTCCTATGTAAGACTATGGATACCAATTTAAGTGACTTCCTATCCTCATTCCAAGTTTTCCCTTTTTCATCGCATCTCCACATGCGCTTGACATGTGCTTAGTCGAAACCTTACCTTGAGCTATGTCAGCTGTTGTTGTAGCCTATCTATCGAGAGTCGTGACTTCATAAGCAAGTTTTTTAAAATCATGGTCCTGAATTGTATCGAAACTCTAATGGTAAGATCCCAAATTGTAGGATCATAATTACTAGAATCATAAAATCGTAGGTTCTACTTAACAGAATTGTAGAATCATCCTAATAAAATAAGATTGTAAAGTAGTAAAATCGCACCATAGAATTTTGATTTTAACAACTATGTTCATAAGTTCAGATTGTGGCTTCCCATTCGATCTTACCTACTCCAATTTTTAATAGAACATTTTCCCTCAACATATAAGTTGAAACCCTAGCATTTGCTCTCTCCCTTATTCCTGGCCCATTCTTTGGAGTTTTTTTTTTTAATTAAGAATCTAGATTTTAGGTCTAAGAGTGAACTCTAATTTACTAAAATGGCATAAATAGGCATTTCATTCAACCTATACCATAGTGCTCAATGTGTTGAATTTTCTCTAGAAAAAATGGAGTGCTTACTATTAAACTAGCAATGTACATATGCTACGATTTTTCGAATAAAACATAATAAGTTTACCTGAAGTAACAATTTATATAATTTTTTAGCATGGAGTACTATTAATATAATTTAACATGGAATGACAGTTGCGCTTTGAAGTTCACTAGAATTAGGATCTTTGCTTGTCGCAGATAATCGAGCTTGGACCTGGGCTGTTTTAGTCTTTATTAGTGAAGCACAAAGAGCAGGACTCCATTGTAAAAGCTTAGATTTTGATGTTAGGAACAGCTGGCTTGGTCCTCGATAGGGAACATTTCATCCATTTTGAAGAGATGTCTTAATAAATATCAACAAATAAACTCCTGGAGCAACCACATTTGCGTGACAAGCTAAACTAGGTCAAACAAATAATTATTTTTCATAGCTCATAGTTTCAAGTTTCAACCATGATGAGCATCCAACATCATCAGCATTTGGTATAAATATTCCATCATATGTCACATTCACCTGATCTTTTCAAGTTTAACTGTTATTGGTAGGTTGGCAATGGCAATGATTCAGGAGGTTGGAGTGAGACATATAGCTTCATCTCACGTGACATTGAGGCCAATGAGACCATTGCATTCCTCTTTGGTGATCTGGGCACTTATGTTCCTTACAACACCTACTTTCGAACACCTCAAGAAAGTTTGTCAACTGTGAAATGGATCCTCCGTGATCTTCAAGCCCATGAAGACAAAGCTGCAGTCATTTCACATATCGGTGACATCAGCTATGCTAAAGGTTATGCATGGTTATGGGATCATTTCTTCGAACAGATTGAACCTATTGCTGCGAATACACCATACCATGTCTGCATTGGAAATCATGAGTATGACTGGCCTTCCCAACCTTGGAAACCCACCTGGGCTGCAAACATATATAATGGGAAGGATAGCGGCGGTGAATGTGGTGTACCATACAGCATCAAGTTCAGAATGCCTGGAAACTCCTCTTTCCCTACTGGCACCAGTGCTCCTGACACTCGGAATCTCTACTACTCATTTGATGCAGGTGTTGTTCATTTTGTTTACATGTCCACTGAAACTGATTTCACTCATGGCAGTGATCAGTACAACTATATAAAAGCTGACCTTGAGAGTGTCAACCGGAGTCGAACACCATTCATCGTGTTCCAGGGTCACCGACCGATGTACACCTCAAGCAATGAGGTCAAGGACACAGCTCACAGGGAGCAGATGATTCAGCATCTGGAACCTCTCTTTGTGAAACACAGCGTGACACTTGCTCTGTGGGGGCATATTCACAGGTATGAGAGATTCTGCCCCATGAAGAACTATCAGTGCCTTAACACGTCGTCAAGCTTTGTGTACCCTGGTGCTCCTGCTCATGTTGTGATCGGGATGGCTGGGCAAGATTACCAGCCAAGCTGGGAACCGAGACCTGACCACCCCAAAGTTCCCATATTCCCTCAGCCACAGAGGTCCATGTACCGCAGCGGTGAGTTCGGGTACACGAAACTTGTGGCCACAAGGGAGAAGTTGACACTAGCGTACATTGGGAACCATGATGGGCAAGTCCATGATATGGTTGAAATACTCTCGCGGCAAGTCGATACTGATAGCACACCTGATGAGCATAAGCTGGTTGGTGTGATGCCAAAAAAATTGACATATATGGCAATTGCTGGCTGTGTGATGGTTGCGATGCTGCTCGGTTTCATGGCTGGCTTCGCTGTTAGAAAGAAGACGGACTCTGCACACTGGACTCCTGTAAAAGATGAGGAATCCTAATTTCTTCAACCTTCACTCGTTTTTGTTGGTAAGCACTCTTTCTTTTCCACTGTAACTTATCTAGATACCAACTAAATATTTGACCTTTAGACTGATTGTTATTGTTAAGTATGTAACTTTGATTAAAGTTGTTGTGTGTATCCTTTGGTGCAGAGGTTGGGGTGCTTTCAATTTTTTTTGTATCAACTCGATTTAATGATGATCAGTAAACTTCCTTCTTTCGAACTAAATATTTAGAAAAGGTATATGAAAACTATTTAGAGCTTGCCTTGAACCACATTTTGGCTATGAACTACTGAGGCATGTTAGGAGGAGCTTCGGCTCTAGCTTCTCCATGTACGATAGCATGGAGCTCTTTTTATCTCTCTTCTTAAAATAACTAGAGGCCCATGAACACTACCGCAGAGAAGATTTTTAGAGACCAGTTTTTTAGAGGCGGGCAAACTAACCGCCTCTAACAAATGGTCTCTGTTAATGGCCATTTACAAAGACGGACACTATTTTTGGCTTACCGAATCTGGCTCCTTCGTGCATAGCTAGGAGTCAGAGCCAGGTGAAATAGGTTCTAAACTTCGTCTTTTTTTGTTTGGAATTGTCACAGTTCCTAATTAACTACATGAAAGAGCTAGTGATAGTCAATTGTAAACAACCTGAGTGATTGTAGGGTCCAACTTTCAATCAAGCCAAACAACAACACTAGCTCATCAATAATCAAATAGTAATGTTTTCGAGAGGAAGGAGACTTTGGGTTATATAACTGAAAATTGGTGCCTGAGGTGGCAGACTTTTTTGTGGGGTGACAAGAAGAGAACATTCTGATTTCCCCATGGAGAGGACTTCGTGAAGGCGCATTCAATGAGTTCAAAGTTTTCGAAATTGGAGGTCTAAGCTAAAGAACCAAATTTATCAAGAGAGGACTGAACGCGAGGAATGAATCTGGAAAGATTATGGAAGCTCAGCAGAACGAGTTTGTTCGATAGCTCCTGTTTAATCAATTTCTTAGATCCATTCAGTAGTTGATTCTTTCCTCTCTTTTTTTCCCCGAACTGTCAGAAGATCGGCATACGCGTCCCGTCTGCTGAGTGCTGACTCCGGTGTTCATCCTACAAACTTCGTCAAGAATAGCCTATGATCTAGGCGAGCGTGGCCGGCCTGCGCGCGACGCGCCTTGTGCTTGTGACCAGTTTGAACCACTGGCCCTCCGGGTCGCACGTCCCGTCCCGGTGCTGGCACGCGCACGGGTTCGTCACGATGCTCCTGCTGTCCGTGCCCACGTCCAGGCACAGCATGCCGCCGCCGCCCAGCCCAAGAGCAGCGGCGTCGACGGCGACGTGCATCGCGGAGTCTGTCGCCAGGCGCCACGTTGACAGGGGGTCGCCGCAGGCGTTGGTGCTGAGACGCGCGGGCTGCCCACGCCCCTCGGCCCGCAGGCACGGGAGCCCCGCTGCCGCGGCGTCCCTTAGAACGAGCGTCGACGACGGCGGCGCGTACGCCCACGCGTCCGTCTCGTTGCACGGGCCCAGCTCCAGCGTCGTCGTCGCCGTGGCCGCGTGCCGCACCGCGCAGAGCCCCGTGAGCGGGTGGAACAGCACGGTGTACGGCAGCGCCTCGCGGTAGCCAGGCCCTGGATGAACACGCCCGCCAGTCAAAACCAACCACGCGTCAGTATGCAGCGATGCACGCACGCCATTGGAATCTGGAGCAGCGATATCGACTAACCTTGGAGTGGCCGCTGCAACGCCTGGATCCTCGGGAGCACGGTCGCGTTGCGGGGCTTGCTCCAGGACCAGTCGAGGACGCCGTACACCTCGTCCATCCCGGCGACGCCCTGCCGCAGGGCGTAGCTGCCCTGCAGCGCCCAGTACGCCCAGTCCACGTCGTGCTCCGCGGCCACGGCGGCGGCGCACGGGAAGTACCGGTTGTCCTTGCGGTCGCCGCCGCGGGAGTCGGCGCCGAACTCGCTGAGGAAGAGCGGGAAGCCCCGGGCGAGCAGGAACGCGCCGCGGCGCGTGAAGTCACGCGCGGCGCGGCCGCACACCTCGTTGGCGCCCTCCGCCTCCCACGCGCGCGCGTCCGAGAAGCTGTACCAGTGCACCTCGAACACCAGCTTGTTCTCCGCCGCGAAGCTGACGCCCACCTGCCTCGCGGCCAGGAAGGACAGGTCGTAGTCGTAGCTCAGGCCGCCCATGATCACCAGCGCCCGAGGGTTCGCCGCGTGAACCGCCTCCGCGCCCCTCTGCATGTACCTGCCCCGGCAGCAGTCCGGTGCAGTTTCTGATTTTTTTTTTTAAAAAAGCAAAATGTACGTACGTGCAAAATCTGCATTCGACTTCGATGGTGAACAACCAATAACTTACGTGTACCAATCTTCGGGGTTCTGCCTCGGGCCACGGAGCTCGTTCCGCAGGCTGATGCCGACGACGTTGGGCACGTCGGCGAAGATGGTGGCCATGCTGCCCAGCCCGTCCACCCACACGTTTGGGTCGAAGTCCCTGTCGCCGAAGAACCCATTGCCGTCGTCGTTGCTGCAGCACCACCCCGGCGTGCTCACGTGGTTGTCCAGGATCACCATGACGTTCTTCTCCCCCAGGGCGTTCACCACAGCCTGCATGGCATTGCATACGGCCGGCGGTGGCCAGAAGCTTGAAGGTTATTAAAACGATCGAACAGTACCAGCTCCTCTCAGGAAGTCAGGAGATGGCTGCGGGCAAAGCTAGCGTGCGTGCGGGCATTGCCTTGAGCGAGTCGATGAGTGTGAGGTCGAGGAAGCCGGGGTTGTTGACCTCGACGCCGCCGACCGTCTCCGAGAGGCCGTGGGCCAGGAGGGACTGCCGCACGGTGAGCGCCGACAGCGAGGCGTTGGTCGCCAGCGCGATCGGGTACGTGAGGCGGACGCAGTTGAACCCCAAGGAGACGATCATCCCGGAGATGGCGCCTACGGGCTGCCTGCCGAGCCCCTCGGTCACCACGGGCTCCAGGTGCGACGGCCAGTTCACGCAGGCCAGCTTCACCCGGTGCCCCGCCGGGTCCACGATCCACCGCGACGACGTCGACAGCGTGACGGCCGCCGCGGGCTCGCGGTCGCTGGCGAGGACGACGACGAGCAAAAGGCACAGAGCGGCACGGATGGAGGACACCAGCCGCATGGTGTGCGTGCGGGGGATTCTCTGTTGGCTACGGCGCGCGTCCAGGAGTGTGATGAGCGCGTGTTTATAATGTTTTAATGGCATCGATCGGTGCAGTGGCGTGCTCCTAATTCGCATCTGTACGCGGTAAAAATAAAACAAATATTTGGAGAAGTTGGTGATGAGTTGGAGTGGCCAACATAAAAATGTCGAATCACGACGACCTCGCCGGACTTACCAGCGACAGTTGTTAGCGTGTTAGGGGGCACCGAAGAACATTGCTCATTTTGGCTAACTGCGCGTGTTGATTAGAGCACGAGGTACTAAGATGCCAGAGAATTATGGTCTGGATTCATTAGTGCTAATATTCAACTAGCTAATAGCTAAATGTCTATTAACTGTTAGCTAGTTAATTATTAGTAGGAGATATTGCTATTCTCTGGCCTCGGCTTCACACGGGATAGCTGCCCCTGCCCTGCTGCAGGTGGGTGTGTCTGCCAGGAATTTGCTCGCCAATCACGACAGCAATAGGGACCCGGCGACCCGACACCCGACACTGCGGGTCTCTAAACGGAGAAAACCTTCACCCATGCGTCCCTCTCGCTCGCTCCCCGGAGCCGAAGCTGGTGCTCGCCGCCCATGGAGTACTGGTCCATCCTCGCGCGCGGCGTGGGCGGGCTCGTGCTCGCCGCCGCCCAGCTGGCCCCGTGAGTCGTTGCCGGCGGCATCCCTGTCCGCGGTTGCCCCATGCGTCGCCGCCGGCGGCTCCCCTTGACGCGGGTGCCCTTCATCGTCGCCAGCGCCGTGCTGGTGCCCCGTACGACCGCGTGAAACAGGGGACGAGAGGAAAGTTGAGACCGCACAGGTGAGAGGCCGTAGGTGACCCAATCCTCACCCACTCGCTCCGTCGGGCCACCCGCTCGCTCTGTTGGGCCAGGCTGTGAAAAAACGATTCCCCACGTTACCTCTCTCAATTTTTATGAAATTATGTTTTTCCTTCCTAAACTCCAAAACCAGACAAAACACGTCCCTCAACTTTTAAAATCATTCATCTTACCTCCCTGACTCTATTATAAGCAGTTTTGATAGTTTTGTCTTTTTCTTTTTTATTTATTACAGCCAAATCTTTAAAAAATCATAATAAATTGTAGAAAAATCATAAAATGGAAAATTTAATTTTATTCGACTCCACATGAGTAGATCTACACATTAAACATATAATATGGTATGCATTAGTATTAAGTTTTTGTTGTGACTTTAGATCTATTCTTTTCTGTAATTAATTGAAATAATTCATAGCTGCAGTTTCTATGGTGCAACTGTGATGAAATTTTTATGGTAGGCTAATTATTGTATGATTGAACTATAGTAAAAATTTCATATTCATTGGATCATGTATAGCTTAGTTATAGATTTATTTATATTTAACAAGCATAAACCTAAATAAAATCTATAACTAAGTTATACATGATCCAATGAGTATAAAATTTTTACTATAGTTTAAACATACAATAATTAACTCACCATAAAAATTTCACCACAATTGAACCATCGAAACTGCAGCTATGAATTATTCCATTTAATTACAGAAAATATAGATGTAAAGCTACAATAAAAATTTTGTACTAAAGCATACCATATTATATGTTCATTGTGTAGATCTACTCATATAGAGTCCAACAAAGTTGCACTTTCTATTTTATGATTTTTTTGTGATTTACTATGATTTTTCAAAGATTTAGTCGAAAATAAATAAAAAGAAAAAGATAAAACCGCCTTCAAAACCGCTTATAACCGGGGCAGGAAGGTAAGATGAACGGTTTTAAAAGTTGAGGGAGATATTTTGTCCGGTTTTAGAGCTCAGGTAGAAAAGGCGGATTTTCGTGAAAATTGAGGGAGGTAATGCAGACTTTTTCCTTCTTCTTTTTCCGTTTTCAAGGAGGCAGGAGAGAGAGTGCATTTTGGCCCGTGAGAGCCAGGCTCGCGAGTGGGCCAAGTAAACCAAATACGCGAGTTGCAGCCCGGGAACGTAGCCGGACCGTCAGGCCACGTTATCAAACACGCCCTTAGATGTTTAAGCCAATCCCACACCCCATCATCCATTTTCCTATTGATGTTAGGATTATGGATTTATGTAATGTCTTATCTACTGTCTACTGCTACTTAAGTACTACTTGAGGTAAGGATTATGGATTTATGGTATTGCACGACTGGTGTCTGGTCGTTGCTAAAATTTCATCTAAACTTTGTGTGTTCTTTTTTATTGTCATGTGCGCTGCTGTTGCAACTAAGATTGTTTAACTTGTCGTCGGGTATATAGGTGACCCGACGGGTGGGGTTTACCCAGCCAGGTGCGGGTCTGGGGAATTTTCTTCGGTGTGTTCGGTTGGCTAGTTCGTTTCGTTGCTGGTTCGTGAAAAAGTACTGCTGACTGATTTATGTGAGAGAAAAATACTGTTTCGACTGAAAATTTACGATCGTTTACGATAAGCCACAGCCAAACGAACAGGCTGTATCCGCGACGGGTGTGAGGATTTTGATGGGGCTATATTTTGCTGGTGGTGATACCAATACCCGATGCGAATTTACCTACTGCCATTTTTAATCACGGGACTTCACTGCTACCTCTTCCGTTCGTGAATAGCAGGCAGGGTTTTCAATATCGCCCAAATTTCGCCGAAAAATCCAAAATCTCGCTGTTTTCGACGGGTGTTGGAAAAAAACTTTATCGGCCAAATATTTCAGCTGAATTTGGAATACCGCCCAATTCTCGCGCCAAAAAGGCCCAATTCCCGCACGCCCAGGATGGCCAGCCCAACAAATAACCACACCCAAGCAAATTGGCCAGCGCTGCGCCGCAGTCCCGCTCCCGGCGGGACAAAATATTCGTGACGGCCAACTCGCTTGACTCGAGTCCGGCTTGGCTCGACTCGGCTCGTTTTAACTTTTTTAAGAGCTGAGCTGAAAGTTTAGCTCGCTGTTTAAATGAGTCAGCTCGCGAGTTGCTCACGAGCTCAAATGAGCTGAGGCCTATCAGTCCACGACCATAAATCCAGAAGATGATGATGCTAACATAGAAGTGTACACCTATTACATTTATACGTGATCCTTATTTTCAGCTGTTTCATATGAATTTTGATTTTATAATTGTTGTAGTATTTAAATGTTGATTTATGGATTATTTTCCAGGGAGAAGATAATGATGCCGACATTGAATTTGTGGACTTTTTAAAGTCTGTGGTGGCAAGCAACTAGTAAGTATGTTGAAACTGCATGAATCATAAATGGACCAGTTATATTGAATGATTGATACTTTTGATGAACCTGATATATATTAATCATGTATGTTTACATAATGGTGAACGTCACTTTCTGAAATTATTGTGATATGAACATTATAAACATGTGTATCCTATTTTTATACTAGCTCATGAGCTAAACGAGCCAGCTCAAACTCACTAACCAACCGAGTTAAGCTATCCTCTGGCTTATAATATTAACGTAGCCTATCGAGCTCGCTCGAATTGGACCGAGCCGAACGAACTGGCTCGATATGTAGTCCTGCCCCCAGCTCGGCCCGCCGCCAGCGACACCGGCACACCGCGCGTCCGCGCCACCCGCTGCCACTACCCCACTCCGCTACCGCGCCATCCCTCGCCGTCCAACGACGGCTCCAGCGGCTGGCTGGTCGAAGAACCTCCCGTGCCCACGCGGTGGACGTCGGGGACGAGGCAGCCTCCAGCTCCGCCTGCGCGGGCTCTGACCTCTCCGCAGCTTGCCTCTCCGTCCGCATACGACGCTGCAGGCATGACGTGGCCAGTACCTCACGCTCTCCCCGCTCTTTGATAGCATCCGTAATGGTGGATTCAGTCAATGTAGTTTTTTTAAACGAATCAGGTCGAAGAGCTACCAACTACATTAAAAAGAAGATCAACCAAGATTCGGCAACAACAAAGCAACACGTCAACACGAAAAAACTAGAAAAAAGAACAATTCGGACCGGTTGGATCGGGACAAACACGCGCCGAACGCAAATTGAAAGAGAAAAACAACTCTAGACGGTTGGACTGGGACATCGATGCGACCCCAACAAAGTCAAAACTCAAGGAAGCTGCACACCACACCACCTGCAGACCACCGTTCCCCGGTCGACAAAGGCGTCAAGACAAAACACCGTCGTCACTGCTCGCGCTGTCGTTGCCGATGAAGTCCCACACCGAGATAGCTCGCTACGAAGCTAGGGCTAGATATCGAGCCAGCTCGGCTCGGCTCGGTCCAACTCGAGCTGTCTCGTTAGGCTAACGAGCCAGCTCGGCTCGGCTCGTTAATATTATAAGCTAGAGGGGCAGCTCAGCTTGGCTCGTTAGCGAGCTCGAGCGGGCTCGTTTAGCTCGCGAGTTACTTAAAAAAATAGGACACACATGTTTATAATGTTCATGCCACAATAATTTCAGATGGTAACGTCCACCATTATGCAACCATACATGATTAATACATATCAGGTTCATCAAAACTATCAACCATGCAACATAACTGGTCCATCCATGATCCATGCAGTTCTAGCATATTTACTAGTTGCTTGCCACCACAGACTTAGGAAAGTCTACAAATTTAATGTCAGCATCATCATCTTCTCCCTGAAAAATAATCCATAAATCAACATTTAAGTACCACAACAATTATCACCCTGTTCGCTTCATTTCAACCATGCTTATCAACCATGATACAACGTTTTTCTCTCACAACAAAACAGCATCAGCCGGTTTATAAGCCATAGAAACGATCAAGCGAACATGGTATATAAAATTAAAATTCATCTAAAATAGCTAAAAATAAGGATTACATATAGATGTACACTTCTAGGTCAGCATCATCATCTTCTGGATTCATGGTCGTAGGTTGAAAGGCATCAGCTCGTTTGAGCTCATGAGCAGCTCGCGAGCTGACTCGAGCTGGCTCGTTAAAACAGCGAGCTAGACTTCCAGCTCAACTCATGAAAAAAATTAAAACGAGCCGAGCCG